GCGTGGAGAACACGCAGTTCCACAAGGGGCACACCAAGAACGACGTCGTGAGCGGCCAGGGCGAGATCATGATCTCGGAGATCACGAAGCTCGAGGAGCCGATCGGCTTCCCGAAGATCAAGGCGGACTTCAACTGCGTGCTCAATAACTCGGAGCACGGCTGGTCTGCCACGGCGGAGAACGCGGAGTTCGAGCCACTCATGAAGCTGAAGGAGGCGCTGGGCGACAAGGTTGAGGTCTCCTCGGGCGTTGCGGGCAACAAGTCCGACGACGATGGCGGCGACGCGCAGACGGACGGCGACAGCCACTCGCTGCGGGAGAACGCGCGTCGCGCGGCCCCGATCGTGGGAGAACGCGCGGAGCGCGGCCCCACGAGCAGCGCCGCGGACACGCAGTGCATCACAGACATCAGCGAGATCTTCCTGGACAACACTCGGTCCCGCAAGGGGGCCACCAAGAACGACAACGTGACAGACGACGCCGGTGACCCAGTGTGTTGGCACCTTAAGCCCAACATGCACCACATCGACACCGTCAAGTTGGAGCGCATGGCGGACACCGATCGCGTGCTCACGACCTCGGAGTACGACTCGTCTGCCACGAAGCGCATCTCATACGCCCACGAGAAGCTGCCTGACGCCTCGCTGAACGGCATGGGCGCGGGCAGGAACAAGGGCAAGTTCGAGGGCAAGGCCAAGGGCAAGGGCCTCTTCGCCTTCCCCACCTGAGCTGCAGCACGTTGTTCCTCGCCCACAAACGAGCGAGGCCAGACAGTCGCGTCTACTTGCGAGCTCAGGAGACTCTGACTAGGCCCGTCCTGGCCCACTGCCGTCCTCGGGCGGCATGCTGTGGGCCTGTGAGGGGCCACTCGCCACGCGGCACTGCCCTCGGGTCCCACACGGCACGCCGAGGCCCGCCTGGCCACCCCAGAGGAGGGTGAACTCGGCCATAGCTGCTTGCGACTGGCCTGTAGTGGGAAAAGAAAAAATCCTCTCCCTCCTCCTCCTCCTCCTCCTCCTCCTCCTCCTCCTCCTCCTCCTCGTTATCCTCCTCCTCCTCCTCCTCCTCCCCTCCACCTCCTCCTCCTCCTCCTCCTCCTCCTCCTCCTCCTCCTCCTCCTCCTCCTCCTCCTCCTCCTCCTCCTCCTCCTCCTCCTCTCTTCGCCTCCCCTCCCCTCAAGTCCTCCTCTTCTCCTCCCCCCCCCCCTCGTTGTCCTCCTCCTCCCCTCCTCCTCCTCCTCCTCCTCCTCCTCCTCCTCCTCCCTCCTTATCCTCCTCATCCTCCCCCTTTTATCCCCCTGCCTCCTCGTCCAGCTTCTCTCGCCTCCTCCTCTCTCCCCTCTGCCCCCTTGTCCTCCACAATTACTCAATATGAATACTACTCTCCCTCTTCTTCCCCGATGGCGGCCTGAAAGTAGCCGCCCCCCCCCCGCGTCCTGCTTTTTTACACACAGGATTCCCGGGAGTTGGGTTTTCGCCTGCATTTTTTTCAAAATGCTGCTCTCGCTGAGGCGCCGGCCTCATTTTCGGGCCCCGCTCGTTCCGAATCGTGCTCCCGCTGCAGCGCTGGCCTCATTTCCGTGCTTCCGCTCGTTCCGAATCGTGCTCCCGCTGCAGCGCTGGCCTCATTTCCGCGCTTCCGCTCGTTTCGACTCGTGCTCCCGCTGCAGCGCTGGCGTCATTTCCCGTGCCATGCCACGGCACACGCGCACGACACACGCACACACACACACGCACACACACACACACACACCACCACCACCACCACCACCACCACCAACCACCACCACCACCACCACCACCACCACCACCACCACCACCACCACCACCACCCACCCACCACCCACCACCACCACCACCACCACCACCACCACAACCACGCACACACGCACGCACGCACGCGCACTACCACCCACTAGTCCGCGGATAGAGAAAATCAGCGCCATGGTAAGGGATGGGAGGGAGGGGTAGGACGTCAGATATGACGCGCGCGCACCTAGCTTGTCCCTGCCCCTCTCTGCCTCCCCCTGGCCCCTGGCCAGTCCTCTCGCAAGCGGCCCTCGCGCAGTGCCCCCATCCGAGAGCTCGGGACGCCAACCTTGGGAACGGCACTGGCGCCCGGAGCCACGCTGCCCCCCTCTTCCCGAGCGGCGCACGCATCCGTGCCCGCGCCCTCGCGGTCTGCGTTGCGGGGCGCACGCCTGCCGGGACGCGGTCGCAGGGATACGGACGTGCCGCGCGGGGCATCCGCGGCGGAACAACGCTCCGTATCCGCGGGGTCGCGGCCCAGGGGCCCACGAGGAGCGCGGTCGGCCAGAGACTCAGCACCACATTCCGAGGCAGCGCAGGGAGGGAGAGGCTCTGGGCGGATGCATCGGCCCACAGTCGCACATTGATCGCCGATAGGGGCCCTCCTCCCCGCCTTCTCCTCCTCCTCCTCCTCCTCCTCCTCCTCCTCCTCCTCCTCCTCCTCCTCCTCCTCCTCCTCCTCCTCCTCTCCTCCCTCCTCCTCCTCCACCTCCTCCTCCTCCTCCTTCTCCTCCTCCTCCTCCTCCTCCTCCTCCTCCTCCTCCTCTCCTCCTCCTCCTCCTCCTCCTCCTCCTCCTCCTCCCTCCTCCTCCTCCCTCCTCCTCCTCCTCCTGCTCTCCTCCTCCTCCTCCTCCTCCTCTCCTCCTCCTCCTCCTCTCCTCCTCCTCCTCCTCCTCCTCCTCCTCCTCCTCCTCCTCCTCCTCCTCCTCCTCCTCCTCCTCTCCTCCTCCTCCTCCTCCTCCTCCTCCTCCTCCTCCTCCTCCTCCTCCTCCCTCCTCCTCCACTCCTCCTCCTCCTCCTCCTCCTCCTCCTCCTCCTCCTCCTCCTCTCCTCCTCCTTCCTCCTCCTCCTCCTCCCTCCTCTCCTCCTCCTCCTCCTCCTCCTCCTCCTCCTCCTCCTCCTCCTTCCTCTCCCCTCCTCCTCCTCCTCCCTCCTCCCTCCTCCCTCCTCCCTCCTCCCCTCCTCCTCCTCCTCCTCCCCCTCCTCCTCCTCCTCCTCCCTCATCGCTCTCCTCCTCCTCCTCCTCCTCCTCCTCCTCCTCCTCCTCCTCCTCCTCCTCGAGGTCGGCGATGTATGTATCACCGTACTCGATGGTTCCCCCCTTGAGCGGGTCCCACCCTGACTACGCCCTTCAGCATGCCTGTCTCGTCGCCTCTGTGTGCATGCGGGCTGCGCGGCTGGGCGCCAGAACCGCGCGCAGGAGTGCAGGGGAATTGTAGCCCCGCAGAGATACAGTCGGGGCCCTGAAGAAGGAACCCTTTTAGTTGGGGAGGGGCTCCGCGTTGCTTAAGTGTTTCGCAGCTTGCCTCAGGTGTTCCTTCTGCTTCCGACAGGAAATCGAAGTCTAACTTGTGGAAAAAAAGGGGCCTCGTTCCTTCTTTAGGGTTCCTGAGGTCAAGGCCCCGACTCTACAAGAAGGACCCCCCCGCCCTCTCAGGGGGGGGGGGGGCACAGCGCTCCTGACGGCGAGGAACGTATCGTTTCCTTCCCCCGCGGCTGCGGCGGCTGCCGAGCTGCTGCGCTTCGGCCTCTCTGCTGCCTGCCTGCGATGGTCTCCGCGCGGCGTCGGGAGACGCGGCTCCAAGCGATCTCGGGCCGCTCGGGCAGGGATTACATGCTTGGCCCCAGGGACGTTTGATGACGTGGAGGAGAAGAAGGAGTGAGGAGGAAGCATCTCTGGAAAAAATAATAGACCATCTCTAAAACATTAGCAGAGTACGAAGAGTTTTTCGAACCCAACTCTGATAGCAGACCGAGTTCAGGCGTCTATATACTTTAGACTAGGTTCTCGGGCTCACGGGCGGCGGCGGCATTGCCTGTCGTGGCCTGGGCATCGCTCGGACGTGCGTTTTTTTTTCTCGGCGAGGACCATCGAGGGCCATCCTGGACCATCGAGCAAAACAAAAAACACGCACGACATCGACAAATGCACGGGAAATGGACGTCCGAGCGACGGCAGGAGGACGTTTGATAGTTCTCGGGCTCACGGACGGAGGTGGCATTGCTTGCCGTGGCCCTTCGAAAAGGCTAGAGCGGCCCACGTGGCAGCAGGCCGCCGGCCAAAGTATTGCCACGCGGGGAGGGCGCGCGTCGCCGCCGCGCAGGGGCGCGAGGAAGCGCGGTGGGAGCTGCTGCCTCCGCGGCCGAGCCGGGCCAGGGCCCGAAAGGGGCAAGGCGGGCAGGAGCGGCGCTGCTGACCCGCGAGGCCCACTGCGGGTGTCTTTGACGAACGAACAACACACACCCACACCCATAGGGAGGTCGGAGGGAGAAGGACTGGCTATGGGTATGGGTGCGGGTTGTCGGACCCCTGAGGAGGCTCCCGTTCGAGTGGGGACCCCTATCCGACAACACGCACCCATAGCTCATTCCGTCTCCGCTATGGGTATGGGTGCGTGTTGATCGTTCGTCATGTCGTTGCTTGAGCTCCAGATTCTGGCGGGGCGTTCTTTGCCTTCGCTGTTGGCACTCTTGTTGTGCCGTGGTGCCCAGTGTTTGCACAATCCTACACGCATGGGTTCGCAGTGGTCGGGAGCATGGGGCTGGCAAGGTTCCGGCAACCGCTTGCTGGAAGCATCTCAACTTCGATGTTGTGTGGTGATGTCCTCAGGGAGCAGGGCTCCCGCCGTGCGTAGTGCCACGTCTGTGGTCATGCATTGCCTTGTCGCCATCACTCGTGGCCTTGGAGATCGATGGCTCGTTCTCCACCTCTCCTGAGATGTGCAGGTTCGCAGCCGACGGTGCCCGCACATGGGAGTTGCCCTGGGTAGTCGAAGGCCAGACTGTCAGACTGGATTGGGCCCCAAGGGCCAATCTGGCCTGGCCAAACTGGATGATTTGGGTTATTCGCCAGACTGGATTCGCGTTGGCTCCCTCGCCAGATTGCCCCCGTTTGCCAGATTGGGCCTGCCAGATTGGCGCCAGATTGGCTTCGACTACCCAGTTGCCTGCAATGCCGCCGAGGGTGGCGCAATGGACTGCTTCCCTGAGGTAGCCCGGATCACCCTCTGTTGCCCGATCACTCGCATAACTGTTCCAGGATATTGCGAAGGCCTCACGGCCGGTGCCGCCGACCCCGAAGGGGGACGACGACGACGACGACGACGACGACGACGACGACGACGACGACGACGACGACGACGACGACGACGACGACGACGACGACGACCACGACCACGACCACGACCACGACCACGACCACGACCACGACCACGACCACGACCATGACCACGACGGCGACGCGACGGCGACGACGACGGCGAGGACGACGGCGACGACGGTGGCGACGACGACGGTGGCGACGATGACGACGACGACGACGACGGCGAGGGCGACGATGTTGCCCGATCGATCGCATATTCCAGCGCATTCCTCGTTGTCCTTTCGCCCCAGCCTTCCCAGCCCGCCTCTGCCGGGCCAGGCGGCCTCCTTCCTGTCCTACCTGCAGGAGATCGGGGTGCGCGACAGCCGGCGCACCGACTTTGTGGCGCTCCTGGACGAGTTCGCCTCGCGCATCTACGAGGAGCTCGCTGTGCGCTCCTGGGGCTGGAGCAGGGAGGAAGGCAGGGGAGCAGGGAGGAAAGCAAGGAGGAGGAGGAAGGACCTATGCGATTGCACAGTGAGGAACAGGACGAGGGCCGGAGTAAACCCAAGGTGCATCAACGTCGCTGCAATACACCCTCCCGTCCCAAGTCCCTCCCAAGTCCATTCCGCTGTGGGAAGCGCACCCCCTGACAGACGAACGCCCCTTGGGCATGCCATTCGGGCAAGACCCCGTGTTGTGAAGCACCCTCCACCCTTCCAGCGGTGCACAGCTTCAGAGCTCTCGTCGCTAACATCCGGGAGGTCTCGAGCGGGAGCCCCACCTCGGCGCAGGGGCCGCCCTCCATCCGTGGCACGCCTGGCTTGGGGGGGGGGCCACAGAGGCCGAGGAGAAGCTTCCGGGCGGAGCCCCGGGCCGAGAGCGGACCGGCCTCCGCCCGTGGAGCTGCCGCAAGCTCCTCGGGCGGGGCGGAAGGGGGGGATTGGGAAAGGGGGGGGTACGAAATTTGCGGCGTGCGGCTGGCTTCGGCCTCACCTCCGACGAGGGCATCTATATACACCACCACCGTGCCAGGCCAGGGCCATCCTGGGCCCCAGGGTGGTGTGTAGGCCCTCCCGACCTCGGCCAGGAGGGCGTATACACGTATGCCAGGGCCAGGATGGCCCTGGCATGGCACGGTGGTGGTGGATAGATGCCTTCAGTGTATCACCGAGGGGCCCATTCCTCGATACATGGCCGCCTCCGGCGCCGGGAGGCGCCGGGAAAAGCAGCTGCGTGAGCTGATTCCCAAACCCCCCTTTTGCTGTCCCCCCCTTTCGCCCGACCCGAGCTTTCAGGCTGAGCGCGAGCGGCGCTGAGCCTGGAGCCACCCCGTTTGAAAACCAGCCGCCCTCCATCGACAGCCTGTCGGACGAAGGTGTGCGGCGCCGGGGCGGATCGGGCGATGACGCCTGGGCCAGGGCCGGGCCTGCACGGTGTCTTTGGCGATCTCGTGGGCCGTGTTCTTTTCGGCTTCGCTTTTTGCGGCAGAGGCGGATTCGAGACGAAAGCGAGGGAAAACGGAAACGAAACGAAAACGAAAAACACCATTTAGGTTCAGCCCTGGTCTATGCACACTCCAGGTCTCTCGATAAGCGTGTGGGGGGGGGATCGCGTGGGGGGGTGGGAAGCCGCTGTCCTTTGGGGGGCGTGGGGAGGTTGGGGAGCGAGAGGGGGTGGGTTTGGGGCGCGTGGGGGGGCGGGCAAGGGACGTCGGACAGGTTGGCACGGGGGGGTGCTTATTTCAGGAGGGAAAAAAACACACGGACACAATTAATCGTCGCTTCCCCGGAAAATATGGGAAAATATGGGAAGTATGGGGGAAGACAAAAATCCAAAAAATATGAAGAACTATGGGGGATCCTGTTATTTGTGAGTATCTATTTGTGTGTCCTGGGGCCCCTTCATTATTGAAGGATGTGGAGTGCCCACTGCTCCCTGGCCAGGCCCGCCCTGAGCCCAGGAGCTGTGCGCACACGCGCCCCCCCGGCCCAGCCGGGAGGAGGGCGAGGCGCACGCGCCGCTGCCGGCAACTGCTGAAGATCTCGAGGTTTCTTCGGTACCTCCTCCTCCTCCTCCTCCTCCACCTCCTTCTCCTCCACCACCTCCTCCTCCTCCTCCTCCCTCTCCTCCTACCTCCTCCTCCTCCTCCTCCTCCTCCTCCTCCTCCTCCTCCTCCTCCTCCTCCTCCTCCTCCTCCTCCTCCTCCTCCTCCTCCTCCTCCTCCCTCAAGCAATCTGGGCTGAAACACCAAGTCCCTCGCCCCCGTGCGCAGGGCACGCGTGTTTTGGCCTCTCCTGCACTTCCGCGCAGTGCTTGGGGGATTTCGTCGCTGCTGGGCCCACAGCAGACGACGTCAACGAAGACAGGAGAAATTTCCATCATCCAACGGCAGGCTCGAAGCTTCCATGGAGCAGGTGTGTGACTTGCAAGACATGCGAATACAACACCAAGTTGTTGGCCAATAACAGGAAGTGCGTGTCTTGCGGCAAGCAGGTGAAGCTCTATGATGCGTCCCGTCAGCGAGACTCGTCCGCGGAGAGGCGGGTCTCTTTCGACAGCGACGCCGAGCTCACCGACGACAGGGAGGACCAGGGGTCGCAGGGCCAGGGCAGGCGCGCTCGCAGCCCAGGCCGCGGCAAGGGTTCCCAGAATCAGGCCACCAAGAACCTCGACGGGCTGCTGGCGAAGGCAGTCGAGTTCACTGACGACCCTGAGATGCGGGCCGTCCTGGCAGCCCAGCGCTCCAAGCTGAAGGATCAGGCGACGACCGACGTGTCGGCCGTCGAGTCCGTGAAGAGTGCTGACGGGGCTTGGAGGCAGGCTAGCCGTCGGCACGAGCAGCTGGTGAGCCAGGTGTTACGGCTGCGGCGCCAGCTCCAGGGCGCCGAAGTCAAAGAGCAGGAGGCCACCCTAGTCCTCGCCAAGGCTGAGGCGGACAAGAGGAGTGCGACGCGCGCCCTTGCCCAAGCTGAAGGCGTCAAGGCAGCCGCCGAGACGGCGCAGGACCAGCAGGGCAAGGGCGTGCATTTCAGTCTGCACATGAACCCAGAGGTTTTCGAGAAGTTCGAGGAGTGGGAGTGCGAGGAGGCCGATAAGGTCACCCTCCGCAACCTCAAGGCAGAGCTGAAGACCATGCAGGGGTCGTTTGCCGCGAAGGACTCCGAACTCCAGAAGTTCATGGCTAAGCTCGACACGGTCAAGAAGGATGTCGAGGAACGCATGGGGAAGAAGAGGAAGACCGAGGAGGGCCAGGACGCGGCGACCCAGGCCAAGGACCAGGCCAAGGAGCCCGCAGCAGCAGCCGCTGCCAACTCAGCTCCTACTCCTAGTCCACCGCCCTCGGAGGAGCTCAAGAAGGAGGCTGCCAGGCTGTCACAGGCCAGGTTCGAGGCAGCCCAGGAGGCGCGGGAGGCCGCGGACCTCAAGGCGAAGGTCAGCGGCCAGGGCGCGGCGGCAGCGGCAGGAGGAGGCACATCGGCTACGACGGCTGCAACCAATGTCTCCACTGGTGCTGCAGGTGGCCATGAGGCTGCCAAGAAGGAATGACTAGAGGCGACGGGGCTCAGCAGCGCCAGCGCAGCTGCGGGCCCAGACGTCATCATGTCAGCGCCTTCCTCTACCAATACATCGTCGGCTACGTCAAGTGGAGGTGATGCCGTTACTGCTCCTTCGGGCTCGAGCAGCGCGGCGACTACCTCATCTACTTCGGGGGACAGTGGCACGACTGCGCAGCAGCAGTCAGAGGACACTGTCAGGATTTTCTTCAGCAGCGTGACGTGCATGGGCGACAAAGCCTGGGGGCGTTTGACCGAGCTTAGTGCCACGCACGAGTACCTGGGCGTCTGCGAGACGCACGTCATCAAGCGCGACACTCGGGAATGGATTGGCAAAGCGAGAAGTTCCTCTCTACGCCTGCTCCACAATGGAGCCAGGCCCAAGTCTCGCTACGCCAAAGGTGACCATCAGCATTCACATGAAGGTGGTGAATGGCTGCTAGCTCGCAATCATAGACCAGTTCGCATGCTCGGCGCCGCCTACACGTGCAACCAACCCCAGGCAGAGCGAAGTGGAGTTCTAGACGGGTTCCTCCCCCTGCCTGTTGGACATGAAGGGCTTCACGCTTGCCGTCTTCATCTACTACGGTTTCTCCAGCATGGGGTTCACCCACGAGAATGTGAACCGCTTCGCCAAGCTGGGGACCGTGCTGACGGCTATCCACCTGCCGTGGCTCGTGTTGGGTGACTGGAACGTCTCCCCCGCCGACCTTCAGATGTCGGGGTTTCTGAAGCGAGTCGGCGGCTCTGTGTGGCTGTCCGATGCCGAGTTTACCTGCGCTCCAGGCGGCAAGCAAAACTCGTCTCACATTGATTATGTTGTAGTCAATGAAGCAGCCCGGCCACATTTGCGTTCTGTTTCTGCAGTCGCAGACCTCCCTTGGAAGCCCCATATAGGCCTCAGTGTCCAACTTGCAGCGTCAGGCAGTCAGATGCTTACTCGTGTGCTGGCCCTCCCTAAGCAGTTGCCCTGTGTCAGTAGGCCCTCGAAACAACCTGTTCCAGGGTCCAAGTCTAGCAAGGCCAAGGCACAGTCTAAGATTGCCCGCCAGGCCGCTCGCGAGCGTCGTGATTGCAAAGTACGCGAGTGGTTTAATGAGCAACTTGTGCCTTGTAGTAGTATCAAGGTTGGGCATGATGGTTGCTGTAATAGGGGTCCCCACAGTAAAGAAGGCAGCGAGGCTGAAACAGGTTTCGGCGGCGAGGAACCTGACTCCGACGGCAGCGAGGAGGACCCGTGGATCCACGGGGCCAACTTCGGATTGGCCGCCCCGACCGCCCCTGCCTCTTCTGTGGGTGATCAGTTTCAGTCGAATTCAGTCCAGCATGAGAACCCCACCCCGTGCACCGCCCCTGTCGAGGAGTCAGGTTCCGCACCGCCAGGGGAGAGCCCAGGGCCCCCCGTCTCTGTTGAGCCTGTGGACGGAACAGCGGGACGCTGTGGGTTTGATTCTTGTTGCTGCTTTGCCTCCTGGCGCTGCTGCTGCCTCCTCCGTTGCATTTAGGCTCTGTTCAAGCGATTCAGGCATCGTCTCTGCCCTGTTCGCGGCCTGGTTCCAGGCAGTCGAAGCTACCGTGCATTCTCATCACGGCCAGGTCACCCTCGGCAGGTCACGCAGTGAACCAGTCGAGTTTATCGAGGCAGAGGTGCAAGTGGCAAAACCAGCACGGGAGGTTGCGCTCAGAGATAAGATTGCAAGTTGGTGGACACGCGTTTCCACGGCGTTGACCACCCTGTCGAGGCACAGGGACATGGACTCAGGTTTCAAGCAGCAGCTCCTCCTTGTGGAAGCCGCGGGGCGCCTCAAGGAGGAAGCCCCAGAGCGTGGTCATCAGGTGCTCCGACAGTCCGACCACTACAGCTGGGATTTCTGGCTATCCTTT